CCCCGACACACCTGAACCCTGACATACCTGAACCCCGGCACACCTGACCCTGACACACCTGAACCTGACACACCTGAACCCCGACACACCTGAACCCTGGCACACCTGAACCCTGACACACCTGAACCCCGACACACCTGAACCCCGACACACCTGACCCTGACACACCTGAACCCTGACATACCTGAACCCCGGCACACCTGAACTGCGACACACCTGAACCCCGGCACACCTGAACCCCGACACACCTGAACCCCGACACACCTGAACCCCGACACACCTGAACCTGACACACCTGAACCCTGACATACCTGAACCCTGACACACCTGAACCCTGACATACCTGAACCTTGTCAATGGGACGTCACCACGGCTACAAAACCTCTAAAAACAAACTGTTCAAGCTGCCTCCAACAGGACGGTCCAGGTGTCTCCACCTGTCTGCCTGCTGTGGGAGGTGTAGCACTTTCCAACATGGCGGCCCTGCAGTAGGTTTGTCTTCTTCCTGTGGACGAGCTGAGATCTCTGCTGCCTTCAGGTCCAAGTAGAGAAAAAACAGGAACTGCAGCAACTTTGGAAACTTTTTTTGGAAGCGTGACGATCCTCAGTTTGGGTCACGTGGTTTCTGTTTGGGTCACGTGGTTTCTGAGAAGCTCCGAAGTGTCTGCAGATCTCCCAGCGTCACTGTGAGCTCCTCACACTTTGAACATCTGATGGACGAACGGTAAGTTCTGACTCAAAACACTTTATGGAGTTATTATGGATTAAAAAGATGATTTTAGTTTCACTTTGTGTAAAAGCCTCTGAAGAGGTTCTTGTCTGAGGAGGACTTCAGTCTCATCTGGGTCCAACAAACTGAAACAAACAGTGTTCACTTTGTTTCAGGGTGAACATTATAATTATTTAAGGTTATTTCAACCAGCTCCTGTCACATTTTATATCTCACCAACTGTCAGAGAGCAGTTATTGTGAGACGGAGGAGTTTCCCACCAAGTTTCAGTTCTGCTTTATGAGAATTAACTTCTTATTTAGTGTTGAATAAACTTCTTAAATCGATTTATTTTATGTGACTACAACAAACTGCTGAATGTTTCCAAATGAAGTTGTTTAATTGAAGCAAACTCTTTCAGCTCATGGTCTAATGCAGAAGAACCATTAAAACATATTTGATCATCTCTTCCTGCAGAGATTATAAGAGATTAAAAACTGATGTCTACATTAACTACAGCCTAATCTTTCATTGTAAATTTATAATCCTCAGATAATGTGATGTAAAAATTATTTAACGAGTAGCTATCTTTGATTTTATTTAATAAGTTTAACAATTTATTACCATAAAGCTTTATAATATCATTTTATACAATGGCTTTTGGACTTTTGTGACTAATGGAACGAACGAACAATTAATTTAAAACTCTTTTACTGCGGATCAATCAAAATAATCTGAAATTAGAAAAATCTTTAAGCCTTTTGTTCAGCTCTTATTTTGAAAAGGTTTGGACATTGTCTAAAATGTGAATAAAAACAGAACACAACTATTTTAAAGTATCATAAACCCATATTTTATTCACAGTCAACCCTGGGAAACATTTAAAATGTTTAAAGTGAACAAATAAAATATAATTTGGAGGTGATGGCAGCAGCACGTCAGTCAGAGGGTTCTTCAGGAAGATGTAAAATCAGCTGATTCATGTTGTCCGTGTGAACTCTGCAGAGTCGAAGGCGGCGCTCCCTCTGAGCCCGCTCTGCGTTTGGACCACCAGAACCACAGCAGAGTCCAGAGGTGAGCCCAGGGTCCGTGTGTAGTGTCACAGAACCGCCAGGGCCTCCAGTCACAGATCTGTCTCTTTCTGAAGAACAAAACTGCAGGAACCACACGAGGGCGGACCTGAACCCAGACCCAGAACTGGATCTGGACCTGGACCCAGCTGCAGGTCAGGGGTGAGCTGCTCGTCCATGGAACCTCCTATAGCTTTTACTCGTCCTCCTCCAGGAGCAGAGTAAGTTTCTTCAAACTGTTTGTGGTTTTATTTCTGTGGAAACAGCAGGAAAGCTGAAAAATGAAGAACTTGATTAAATTAGTTCATCGTTGACTCGTTAACTGATTAACAAACAAAACAGAAGCTAAAATCAGATAATTCATTGCTTCATATCAGCTAAACTGTGGCTAAAACTAAAAACATCAAACTTGTAGTGAAAACTTAAAACGAGCAGAAACCGACAGCCGAAGCTGAAGTTAGTAAAATTGTTCCGAAGCTAAAATGATAAATATGTAGCTAAAATATAAAATTTCTTAACATGACAGTAGCTAAATGCTAAAATGAGCAAAACGGTGGCTAAAAGAAGCAGAAGACCAAAACAGATGTTTTTGAGGATTGCATTTTTGTGGAGATGTTTGTAAACATTTAAAAAGTTTTAAAGTTAAAATCAGTTCTGACGGAGCTGAAATTATTTAAGAATTAAAATATTAAACAAAATGCAGAAGAAATTTATAAAAGTTATTTTACTAACAATTTAGTGATTGTCACAGCCGGAGGCCGTGCACGTTCATGTTTCTGCTCCTGCAGGATCAGATTATCGTTAAAACACATGTGGCTTTGTGCAAAAGTCCTGATCCGGTCCTCTCCAAGCAGCCTCTGACCCTTTGACGTGGTCTGGACCAGAACTTCATCACTGAAGCTCTTTCAGGGATTTTCTTTGGACTTCGGCTGCTTTTCACTCGTCTTCAGTTGTTCCTGAACATTTTCAGATAAATGTTTGTTCGGCCACTTCACTCTGACTTGGGTCGGTTTCTGTCAGGATCCATCAGAAGCCGGAGCGTCCTGAGCTCAGCGGGGCGTCGGTGGACAGTAACGTGTGTCTGAGTCGTCTCATTGAGTCCAGACCTGAAGGGTAAGGAACTGATGAAACACTCTGAGTTCTATTTGTACCAAACGGCACCTTTAACAAACTACATGTGGTGGTTTTTGCAGCGTCGTCCAACACGACTCAGAGCTTCTGGATGGTAGCTCAAGTCCAACAGGTCTGGAGTCCATTTTCTTGGTGAGAACCCGTCTTCGTCACGAACAGAACCGAACCGTTGTTATGTTTAATAAAATCTGATGTTCAAAGTGTAACCACGTTCAGCTGGATTCAAACGTTCTTCTGTTCCAGCTGCTGGAGGAACTCATCTGCAGCTTTGTGAGACATGAGCTGAAGAAGATCCAGGAAGTTTTGGGTCCAAACCAGCCAGAACGTTCAGGAGATCCGAGGGAGGATGAGGAGGAGCTGAGTGTTGAGGAAGAGGAGCAGAGCAGAACGTCTCTGATGAAGATCGTTGTGTTCTTCCTGAGGAAGATGAGCCAGGAGAAGCTGGCTGAGCGTCTGCAGAGCAGTACGATTCATCTGGAACCAAAGCGCTGAACTTCACAGAGACACAGCTGAAAGAAGCACATACTAGCTAAAAGCACGAGCCAAAAGTAGCAGAATGCTGGCTACAAACTAAAAGTGGCAAAACACCAGTTAACTAGTTGGTTACTAGTTATGTTCACACAAGTTAAAGCTAAAATAGCAGAACGGAAACTAGTAGCCAAACTAGAAAAAAAAAACCTAAATCAGCAACAAATTGGACAAAACAGCTAAAAGCTAACTAATCAGCTAGTTTCTAGTTAAAGTAGCAAAACAATAGCTAGAAGCTACAAGTAGAGAACTAACTGAAAACAGCTAAGGTTAGCTAAAAGCTAAAAATACCCGAAGGCTAGTTAAATGTACCACAAGACTAGGTCTAAAGCTAAAAGTAGCAAAAGGACACCTTGAACATGAAGTCAAGTCAAATTTATTTATAGAGCACATTTAAAACAGAAACTTTGACTCAAGTGCTTAACAATAAAATCACAGCATCAAGTAAAAATTAACACGATATAATTAAAAGCATCAAAAAATAAAAACGTAAAAAAACACAAACACAATGAGAAACAATGGAATAATAAATCAGATCATATTGTGTTAATGTAGCTAAAAGCTATCTTAAAGCCAAAGTAGCAAAAGCTTAACTAAAAGCAAAAAGTGGCAAAAGGATAGCTCAAGCAGCAAAAGGCTAGCTAAAACCTGAATGTAGCAAAAGGCTAACTAAAAGCTAGAAGTACTCAAAGACTAGCTAAAAGTAGCAAAAGTCTATCTCAAAGCTAAAAGTACTCAAAGACTAGCTAAAAGTAGCAAAAGTCTATCTCAAAGCTAAAAGTACTCAAAGACTAGCTAAAAGTAGCAAAAGCCTAGCTCAAAGCTAAAAGTAGCAAAAGCCTAGCTCAAAGCTAAATGTAGCAAAAATACTAGCTAAAAGCTGAAAGTGCAAAGGATTAGCTGAAAGTTGCAACAGACGGAGCACAGAGCCAGCAGCTGAAGCTAAATTCAAAGAGAACCAAGTTTTTAAGGAACTCGAGAGATCTCTACGTACAGTACATCTATGAGGAAAATATTTGTAAATGAATAATCGGAAAATTAAAAGTTGGAAAAAACACAAGTCAGAGCAACAGACTCCTGAATGAGCTAAATGTTGTGATGTAGGCTAACGGCTACAGTTTAATAAAGTCTAGAGAATTAGCTGGATTGTAAAAATCATCCGTAGATTTCCTCTAATTGTAAAAACTCGACACGTTTCTGGTTCATTTCTCAGGAGCTTCATCAGCAGAGCGTCAGAGAAAACATCAGCTGAAGCTGAGGAAGAGGTTCGAGTGTGTGTTTGAGGGGATCGCTAAAGCAGGAACCCCGACTCTCCTGAACCAGATCTACACAGAGCTCTACATCACAGAGGGAGGAACCGGAGAGGTCAACGAAGAACATGAGGTCCGACAGATCGAAGCAGCATCCAGGAGACCACACGGTCCAGAAACAACCATCAGACAAGAAGAAATCTTTAAACTCCCGCCTGGAAGAGATGGACCGATCAGAACCGTGATGACAAAAGGAGTCGCCGGCATCGGGAAAACAGTCCTAACTCAGAAGTTCACTCTGGACTGGGCCGAAGGCAGAACCAACCAGGACATCCAGTTCCTGTTCCCGTTCACCTTCAGAGAGCTGAACGTGCTGAAAGAGAAAAAGTTCAGCTTGGTGGAGCTCGTTCATCACTTCTTCACAGAAACCAAAGGAACATGGAGGTTTGATGAGGTCCAGGTTCTGTTCATCTTCGATGGTCTGGACGAGTGTCGACTTCCTCTGGACTTCCACAACAACCAGATCCTGACTGACGTCACAGAGTCCACCTCAGTGGATGCTCTGCTGACGAACCTCATCAGAGGGAACCTGCTTCCTTCTGCTCGCCTCTGGATAACCACACGACCTGCAGCAGCCAATCAGATCCCTGCTGAGTGCGTTGCCATGGTGACGGAGGTCAGAGGGTTCACGGACCCACAGAAAGAGGAGTACTTCAGGAAAAGGTTCAAAGACAAGAAGCAGGCCAGCCGGGTCGTCTCCCACATCAAGACGTCCCAGAGCCTCCACATCATGTGCCACATCCCGGTCTTCTGCTGGATCAATGCTACGGTTCTGGAGGACATGCTGAAGACCAAAGATGGACCAGAGCTACCCAAGACTCTGACTGAGATGTACATCCACTTCCTGGTGGTTCAGACCAAAGTGAAGCAGGTCAAGTACTACGGAGGAGCAGAGACAGATTCACACTGGAGTCCAGAGACCAGGAAGATGGTTGAAGATCTGGGGAAGCTGGCCTTTGAGCAGCTGCAGGAAGGAAACCTGATCTTCTACGAGTCGGACCTGACAGAGTGTGGCATCGACATCAGAGACGCCTCGGTTTACTCCGGAGTGTTCACACAGATCTTCAAAGAGGAGCGAGGACTGTACCAGGACAAGGTGTTCTGCTTCGTCCATCTGAGCGTCCAGGAGTTTCTGGCTGCTCTTCATGTCCACCTGACCTTCATCAGCTGTGGGCTCAACCTGCTGGAAGAGAAACAAATCAACTCTGAAGAATCAGAACCAAGGAGAGATTTATCTGAGACACATTTCTACATGACTGCTGTGGACAGGGCGTCACAGAGTCCAAATGGACATCTGGACCTGTTCCTCCGCTTTCTCCTGGGGTTTTCATGTCCTAAAAATCAGACTCTGCTGCGAGGACTTCTCTCCCAAAAACAACGTGACTCACGGGACCACCAGAACATAGTCAGTCACATCAAAGAGAAGATACGAGAGAATCCGTCTCCTGAGAAAAGCATCAACCTGTTCCACTGTCTGAAGGAACTCAATGATGGTTCTCTGGTGGAGGAGATCCAGCAGGTCCTGAGATCAGGTGGTCTCTCCACAGATGATCTGTCTCCTGCTCAGTGGTCGGCTCTGGTCTTCATCTTACTGTCGTCAGAAGAAGATCTGGACGTGTTCGATCTGAAGAAGTACTCTGCTTCAGAGGAGGCTCTCCTGAGGCTGCTGCCGGTGGTCAAAGCCTCCAACAAAGCTCTGTAGGTGACCAAAGTTCAGAAACTCTTTGTGTCCACCACAGACTATTCATTTTAATTTCCCTCAGGTTGACTTGTTGTGACCTCTCGGAGAAGAGCTGTGAAGCTCTGTCCCTGATCTTCAGCTGCTCGTCCTCCAGTCTGAGAGAGCTGGACCTGAGCAACAACAACCTGCAGGACTCAGGAGTCCAGCTTCTGTCTGCTGGACTACAGAGTCCACACTGCAAGCTGGAAGCTCTCAGGTGAGGAAGCAGGTTTTGGACCAAGAAAACATCCATCCATCCATTTTCTTTGCCCGTTTATTCCATTTTGGGTCACGGGGGTCGCTGGTGCCCATGTCCAGCAATCACTGTGCGAGGGGCGGGGTACACCCTGGACGGGTCGCAAGTCCATCACAGGGCCACATAGAGACAAACGAGACAAACAACCATTCACTCTCTCACTCACACCTAGGGACAATTTAGAGTTACCAATCAGCCTAACATGCATGTTTTTGGTCTGTGGGAGGAAACTGGAGCACCCGACCAAGAAAACAGTTGGGATCAATTAAACATGAAGTTTGAAACTTTTTATATTTTTAGTCTTTCAGGTTGTCTGATCACAGATGAAGGTTGCACTTCTCTGGCCTCATCTCTGAGGTCCAACCCAAGCCATCTGAAGGAGCTGGACCTGAGCTACAACTACCCAGGAGACTCAGGACTGAAGCTGCTCTCTGCTCTGTTGGAGGATCCAGACTTCAGACTGGACACGCTCAGGTACAAAAAACGAAACGAGTCATTTTATTCAGCGTTTAGTTTGAACGATGCCAACAATAAGACTGAATGCACCGTCTGCCTGCTGCATCTACTGTACCATACGTTGCCCCTTTGACCTGAACATGATGAACGTCCTCACTTGATTTGAGGCATGACCCTCTGCAAAAAGACACGGGAGTCCAAAGTCCAGTGAGCAAAAAAATAAAATAAATATCAAGGTTTTCCCATCATTTTAAACTTAACAGCCTCCTTAATCAGCTCTACCATGATTTACCCATGTCCTAAAATAATTGAAGACGTGTAGTTCTAGAGTTCAGGCGGCAGGCGGCAGTACAGGCTTTGGTAGTAATTCTTTAATAGATACAGAAGGAAAAAAAATCTGTAAAGGCACCTTCTATTAACATGAACAGACATCCTTTAAGACATCTTAATCATATTCCAGCAGACTCTGATCTTATCCTGATTCTTATGTAAATCCCTCATCCCTCATGGTCGGCTGTGGATGAGTGGTTAGAGCAGTCGTCCTTCAATGGGAAAGTTAGGTGTTCGATTCCACCAGGAGTCACATGCTGATGTGTCCCTGGGCAAGACGCTGAAGCCGTCACTGCCTCCGATGTGTGTCCCATCGGTGTTTGAATGTGATAAAGCTCTGATTATTCTTTGTATAGATCTAGTATAGAGCTGCATGAATGGGTAAATGAAGCACAGATTGTGTTGCATAGAGCTTTGTATCTCGATAAGATAGAAAGGTGCTATATAAGTACAGTCCATTTACCATTATGGGATGTTACACGGCTTCTGATAAAGTGGGTTATTTTCTCCTAAAATATGCAAAAAACATTGTTTCATAACAGGCTGTGAAAGGGTCAAAGGGTTCCCATCTTCCTCTCCTACCTGTGAGAGGTGCATCTCTGGGCAAACTCGTCTCCAGGTTCTCCACCTGACAACAGACTGCCTTTTAGACACACCTGAATCAGATGAACTCGACCAAGGACGTGCGCTTGTTGATGTCACCACATCCTTTCATTGGGGCTCCGTACAAATCTGCTCCCCAGTTACATTTCAGGAACTTCCTACCTGTTCACGCCATTTGCTCTCTCAGTTTGCACTTAAATTATTCAAGCATTCAAGGAAACTTGTATTTAACTTTAATAAATGTAGACCAGACCAGAACGCATTAGAGTCCAGGGACATGAAGTTGGTCACTTTGATGCAAAACATAAATAAACGTCCGCTGCTGCTTAACTCATTCATCTAACAATGTGTGATTGATATTGTAGAAAATAATTTCCCGTCATGCAGATGTGACCCACAGAGGACAATCTACCCCAGGATGGATCTATGTCTAATAACATCCCTGCTAACGTTGTGTTAAATGCACGTAGCTGTAGCAACACTAAGAAAACTGCCATCATTAAGTTAAACATTTTGATGATGTCACTGCACAGGGGATTAAACAAAGATTAATTTATACTCAACAGCATCTTCATGTTATTTAATGAAATAAAAAATCTACAGCTCAACTAAGATTTTATTTGGTAGAGAGCCTTATGTTCATGTCATCCACTTTTATTATAAATAAATCTCGCTGTGACGTTTTGTTCTCAGCAGAAACCTGTTTGATGACTGTTTGTTCTCTCAGGGTGGACCACGGTGGAGAACGGAGGCTAGAACCCGGTCTGAGAAAGTGTAAGTTCAACTAATGACCCTTCAGATCGGGGGTGAGTTTGACTCAAGCAGGGGAGCTCAGATATCTGGGGGCTTGTTGAGTGATCACAGGAATCCTCATCTGCTGTAACGAGGGTGCTTCTCTGCTTGGGCAAAGTTCTTGATTTGTTGGTCCATCTATGTTCTGACCCTTAGCCTTGGTCATGAACTAAGGTGAAGAGCTCCAGAGCTGCTGCTCCTCCACCTTCCTCCTCCCTCAAAAGGAGTCACCTCATGGAAACCAACCTATGGAGGTTTTCTGGTTGTGTCCCACTGGGAGGAGACCCCAGAGTCCAGGAACACCTTAGGACTCTTCTGAAAAGTGTTACGTGGGAGAGTGATACCTGGGTTTCTCCCCAGAACCTGTTACTTCTGCAACTCCACCATGGATCAGTGAATGGGTAGAAGTACATTTCCTGTTTTCAGGCTGTAGGTTTTCTATCTTAATTCATAGATTCTCCAACGTGTCCTGGGTCTTCCCCAGGGTCTCCTCCTTGTCGGACATGGCTGAAGCACCTCCCTAGGGAGGCGCACAGGGAGCATCCTTGCCAGATGCCTGAACCATCTCAACTGGCTCCTCTTGATGTGAAGGAACAGCGGTTCTATTCCGAGCTCCCCCCTTAGATGATGGAGCTCCTCACCTTAGTTCATGACCAAAGGTGAGGGTCGGAACAGCTGCCTCCAGAGTCCCACGAGCCAACAAGGCCTGATAGGACTCCTTCTTCAGCTTGACAGCCTCCCTAACCCGGGGTGTCCACTATCAAGTTCAAGGATGGCCACCGTGAGAAGCACTGACAAATTTGTGGCCACAGCTCAAGGCAGCCACCTCAATAATTGAGGCATGGAACATGACCCACTTGGACTCTTTGTCCCCCGTCTGAGTCTGGATGCCATTAAAGCTCTTTCAAGAGGTGAGTTGAAGATCTTTCTGACGGTTCTTCAGCTCCCAGCTGGAGCACCTTCCAGTACCCCCACCAAGGACTTCTTCCAGTACCCCCACCAAGAACTCCAAGAAGGCCGGACACTCTGAACTGTTGTTTGGTGCATAGGCACAAACATCAGCACATGGTCAGAGAACCCCCCCCCCCCCCCCCCCCCACCACCCCACCACCACCACCACCAGATGGTGCAGGGAAGCTACTGTCTTCTCTATGAGGCGAAAACTACAACACAAGGCACCAAGTCGGGGATCTACAAGTAGACCCACACCAGCTTGGTGCCTATCACCATGGACACCCAGAGTGGAATAAGGTCCAGCCCCTCTCAAGGAGATCGGTTCCAGAGCCCATGTTGTGCGTCGAGGTGAGCCCAGCTAGATCTAGTCAGTACCTCTCAACCTCAGACACAAGCTCAGGCTCCTTCCCCGTCAGAGAGGTCATGTTCCATGTCCCAAGAGCAGCTTTGGTAAGCCAGGGTCAGAGCACCAATGACCCCGCCTTCAGCTACTGCCCATGGAGGCATGCACCCGAATTTTATGGACCTTCCTGCAGGTGGTGGGTCCACAATTAGGCAAACCCACGTTGTTCCTTCGGGCTGAGCCTGACCGGGCCTCATGGGTAGTGACCCGGTCACCAGGCACTTGCCCCTGCCCCAGGCCTGGCTCCAGGGTGGAGCCCCGCTAACCCACATCCAGGCAAGGGACACTGAGCTCCTTGTTTTTTTTTTCTGTCCAGAAGAGTCTTTGGAAGAAGCAACACCCTAGCAGAAAAAAGTTCAACGCTAAAATTTAAAAGAAGCAAAAACACGAGCTAAAATTAGCTATGGAGAAGTTATGTGTAAATAATAGTAAATATTTAGAAAAGTATGAAAGTAACTAAACCAAAAGTCACAAGTTTTAGTTCTATGAACAGCTAAAATAAAAACAGGAAGCTGAATCGGCGATCACACAATCATTTATCAACATAAAACACATAATGGACGATATGATGAATTTAAGTGGTGTGTCAGGTTTGGTGTTTTTCTTTCCTCCATCAGATTTCTGTGAACTCGAACTGGACCCGAACACATTAAACCCAAACCTCAGACTTTCTGAGGACACCAGGGTAGTGACGCTGGTGGAGGAGAAGCAGCCGTATCCCGATCACCCGGACAGGTTCGACTGCCGGATCCAGCTGCTGTGTAAGAACGCACTGACCGATCGCTGCTACTGGGAGGTGGAGTGGAGCGGAGGAGTTTACATATCTGTGAGTTACAGAGGGATGAGGAGGGGAGGGAACAGTGACAACTGCATGTTCGGGTGGAACGAGCAGTCCTGGAGTCTGAACTGCTCTGATGACGACGGCTACTCTCTGTGGCACAACAACCAGAGAACATCCGTCCCCTCGTCGGTCCTTCACAGAGTAGCAGTGTATTTGGACTGGCGTGCTGGGATCCTTTCATTCTACAGCATCTCCAAAAACACCCTGAACCACCTTCACACCTACAACCACCACTTCACCGAGCCTCTGTATCCTGGTTTTGGGTTTCGGTCTGGGTTCTCCGGCTGGTTGGGTTCCTCAGTGTCTCTGTGTTCTCTGTAGGAGGTTTCCCTGTGGTTTAAAGGTGAGGCTGACACTGTCTACTTATAGGACTAGACTGAAAACTGTCCTTCCTGATGAGTCCTATAGTTAGGGCTGGCTTGGGTTTCCAGAGCTATCTTTTAGTTCTACTGCTATAGGCTTAGACTGCTGGAGCACAAACTGATCACATGTCCTTACTCTGCTGCTGTTTACTCACTCTACTCTCCATGTTTGTATTTGTAAATATTTCTGTCATTACGTTTTGTGTCTGTCTTCCCATTGAAACTACACCTGGACTGTAGGAAATACACCTGGACCATAGTAACAACACCTGGGCCGTAGGTACTACATCTGAACCTACACCTGGACTGTAGGAACTACACCTGGACTGTAGGAACTACACCTGGACCGTAGGTACTACACATGGACTGTAGGTACTACACATGGACTGTAGGTACTACACCTGGACCGTAGGAACTACACCTGGACCGTAGGAACTACACATGGACCGTAGGTACTACACATGTACTGTAGGTACTACACATAGACTGTAGGTACTACGCCTGGACCTTAGGTACTACGCCTGGATCTTAGGTACTACGCCTGGACCGTAGGTACTACACCTGGACTGTAGGTACTGCACATGGACTGTAGGAACTACACTTGGACTGTAGGAACTACACCTGG